TGGGCGCCCCCTCTGCCACCCTGACTCCCCTGCCCAGCATGTGCTGCCCAGCTGCTCCTCTGCCTCACCGGCCCCGCATGCAGCATGGGCCCTGAGTCCCTGTGTGTGTTGTCTCCTAACCACGGTTTGCCATCTCCCATTCCTGCGGGGCACCCTGTGGGCAGGGCTTTGCCGGCGCTCGGAGGAGAGCAATGAGATGTGTGTTACGCAAGCAAAGAGCTCCTGGCTCCCTGAGGGGACCTGGGGCAGGCACCAGAGGGGTGGCCAAGTAAGATGGGGCTCTCAGAACCCGGCTCCCTTGGCCCCCCACCGGGGCCCAGAATGTAGACCCCTTCCTACCACAGACGCAGACTCCTGGGACCCACGTCAAAAGCACAGCCTCAGAACTGTGGAGTCAGAACTCCGCAGGGCTGGCAGCTCCCGCTCCCTCGGGTGGAGGTCAAACTGTGCTTGAATTCCTCTAGGGACGGGCGCTGCCCTCCTCCAACCTGCAACTTGGCAGCTGAGTCCTGCTACCTGAGGTTTGCCCCTGCCTGCTGGGGCCCAGGGGTGAGTGGGAGGCACCCATGGGCCCTAGTGTCACAGCCCTTTCACCAGAGTGGGCCCTTCGAGACGGGTGAGGGCCGCGCCCTGCAGCAGGCCTGCCCGGGCTCCCAGAGACAGCAGTGACTCAGCTGCTCCCGTGGCTGCCTCCCCGTCCCAGAGTGTTTGCGTGAGATGTAATCGATCCTCTGGCCTGGGAACCTGGAGGGGGAGTAGGTGTATTCGCCTACTTCTGTGTGGGGTGTTGTTGGGATGCAGGGGGGCATGGGGTGTCCTGGTTCAGGGGGCAGGAGTTCCCCGCCAAGTGGGTAAGAAGCTTGCAGTGTTGGCCTTGGCCTTGGCCTTGCTGGCTCCAGGGGGCACAGCAGGCAGGCAGGGGGCAGCCCTCTCTGTGCCCACCAGGCTCGGGCCACCGGGGTCTGTTGAGGGCCCCTGGGTACCAAAGATGCTCTGGGGTAGCCCCTCCAACTGGACAACGGAGGCCAGAGGAACAATATGGACGCCGTCCTGGACCCCGCCTCCCTCCCTCCCTCCCTCCCGTCTTCCTTCTGTCCTTCTTTCTCTCTTTCCTCCCTCCCTCCCCCCTTCCTTCCTTCTCTGCTTCCTTCCTTCCTGCCTTCTCTTTTCCGTTTTTTGTTTGTTGTTTTTTTTTTTTTTTGGTGGCACTGGGGATTGAACCCAGAGCCTGCACACTGAGCTACATCCCCAGCCCTTCTTTAAATTTTTAATTTTGAGACAGGGTCTCACATAGTTGCCCAGACTGGCCTCAAACTTGCTATTCTCCTGCCTCAGCCTCCCATGAGGTGGGATTACAGGCATGTACCACTATGCAGGGCTAGAATATTCCCTTGGTCTGCCGGTCCCTTATGAAGACTCCACACAAACCTCAGGCGCTCGGAGACCCGGCCCTGGGAAGGGTCCAGGAGCAGCACTGAGGCCCCATGGCCCTGGGCTCCCAGCTGATGGTTTCCTCCAGGGCAAGTGCAGCTCGCAGACGGCTGAGGGCCAGGAGCCAGGGCCGCACAGTCCCTTCACCCAGGCCTGTGGAGCAGGGAAGGCCAGAGGCCTCGGCACCCAAGGGTAAGCGTCCCTTCCTCTTTTCAGACCCTTCCAGAATCTTGTCGACTGGAGGGCTCCCGGAGCTCTGGTGCCTGGCAGCGCAGACCACGCTCGTGGTCACCCAGTGTGCTCCTGCTCCCCGCTGCTCTTTCCTGTCCTCCTCCCTCCGGGAAGCCGTGACTGAGTGCCCGCTCCCCCAGGCCAGTCCCTAAGCCCTTCCGGCTCCCCACCCCATCCCCTCCTGTCCTCCTGTCCTCCTGCCCCCATTCTGGCCAGGGGCTCCCTGGGCCAAGACCCCGTCTCTGACTCAGCCCTGAGGCTCCCCTCGGGCATAGGTGTGCCGGTCAAGGATGGACCGTGTCGGGAACTTGGAAGACACCCAGGACTCAACCCCAGCCCATGTCCCCTCCAGCTGCCTCCGCCTCCTCACCAGGCCACAGGTCTCCTTGGGTGGCCACAGAGCTCCAGCTTCGTCAGAAAGGTAGGGACTCCACTGGAGAGGAAGTAGGGACCTGCCCAGAGGAAGTAGGGACCAGCCCAGAGGAAGTAGGGACCCACCCACAGGAAGTAGGGACCCGCCCAGAGGAAGTAGGGACCCACCCACAGGAAGTAGGGACCCGCCCAGAGGAAGTAGGGACCCACCCACAGGAAGTAGGGACCCACCCACAGGAAGTAGGGACCTGCCCAGAGGAAGTAGGGGCCCCGCCCAGAGGAAGTAGGGGTCCCGCCCAGAGGAAGTAGGGACCTGCCCAGAGGAAGTAGGGGTCCCGCCCGGAGGAAGTAGGGGTCCCGCCCGGAGGAAGCAGGGACCCCACCCAGAGGAAGTAGGGGCCCCGCCCAGAGGAAGTAGGGGCCCCACCCAGAGGAAGTAGGGACCCCGCCCAGAGGAAGTAGGGGCCCCACCCAGAGGAAGTAAGGGCCCCACCCAGAGGAAGTAGGGACCCCATCCAGAGGAAGTAGGGGCCCCGCCCAGAGGAAGTAGGGGCCCCGCCCAGAGGAAGTAGGGACCCCGCCCAGAGGAAGTAGGGGCCCCACCCAGAGGAAGTAGGGGCCCTATCCAGAGGAAGTAGGGACCCTATCCAGAGGAAGTAGGGGTCCCGCCCAGAAGAAGTAGGGACCCACCCAGAGGAAGTAGATGCCCCACTGAGAGGAAGTAGGGACCCCACCCAGAGGAAGTAGGGGCCCCGCCCAGAAGAAGTAGGGGCCCCGCCCAGAGGAAGTAGGCCTGAGCAAGAGCGGCTATGCTCTCAGGGAGAGACAGACAGGTGCTCACCCCTGGGCCTGGGAACAGTGCTGCTGCCCAAGCCTCCTGCAGACTCAGCCCCTGCCTCTCCTGGGCACCCAGCCTGAGACTCCCTGAACCCGCAGGGCACCAGTTCTGTCCTGTAGTGCCTGAACCATCAGCTCTCCCTCTTTGGGTCCTTCATATCCAAGGACCTAGGCAGGCTCAGAGCCAGGGAAGCCTGAGCAGGCCGCAGCCTGAGTGAAGCCCCCGCAGACACAGCTGTGCTGCCTGGCTCTCACAGTGGAGGAGGAGGCGGCTCAGGAGGTGAGGCCCAGGTGAGCTCTCCTGTGAGCTCCAGCTCTGGCTCCCTGTTTATCTGAGCACGGCTCCCCTCTGTCCCCTGCCAGACCCTGCCTCTCCCTTCCCCACCAGCCCCTCCAGTTCACCCAGCTGCCTAACTCTCGTCTGCCCTGTTGCTGCTCTACCCGGTCTTTCTTGTTCTGTCTTTGGTGGAGATAGTGCCACCTGTCACCTCCTCAGACCCCACCTAAGCCGTTCCCCTCCCACTCGTCTCTGTGTGCACAAGGTCCCAGGCCTCAGTTTCCCTAGTGAGGCCCAGCGGTGCGTAGAAGGAAGACCCCAGAGGACCTGAGTTCAGACCCTGGCTTGGCCTCTCAGCAGCCGTGGGACCTTGGGCAGCTCTTCATATTCTCTGTGCCTCAGTTTCTCCACCTGCTTAAGGGAACCAGCACTGACCGACCGACTTGGGAAAGGGCCGTCACCCAGGCTGCGTAGGGCTGCGGCCGCCCAAGCCTGGCACTGGGGAGCGCTCAGTATTAATTCCTCAGAGCTGCTGGCTTTTGAGGACCCTCACCCTGGGTAGGGGCAGAAGCAGTCAGAAACAGGACCCCTGTGGAAGATGGTGCCCCTGAAGGGGCAGCGGGTGGTCACTGTCCCCACCACTCCAGGCCATGTCCCCAGCTGCTGTGCCTCAAGGTCCTGCACTGTTCCCAAGGGCGGAGGATGGGCCACCTGGGCAGGGAGCTGGCTGAGCACCCTGAGAGCTGAGAGCAAGGCCGGTGAGCTGAGGCCATCACAGCGTGGGCTGAGGAGCCCCTGGGGTGGCGGGTCAGGTCTCGGCAGGACCCAGGGCTGGGGTTGGCTGGACACTGGGCCAGGCGGGCTGGGGGCTCCCTGCCCCGCAGGGCCCCTGGAGGATGTGCCGGCAGCCCCGGGGGGCCAGACTGGGCTTGAATGTCAGCCAGGCAGTAAGTGCCGTCTGCGCCCTGGGGCCGGGCATCTCAGGGCTCCTTCCTCATTCCTGCCCCTGTGGGAGTAGCCGGACCCCGGTGTTCCGATGCCGCCGCCGCCCCTGGGGATTTGCTTGCTGTCTCATGGGGAGCCAGGGCCTACTGCCAACTGCCCGGCCCTGGCGTGGGCCCCATGCACACCAGCGCCAGGGCCCCACCGACCACCGAGTCCTGGCCGTGGGCCACCTGCTGCTCGCAGATGGGGAGACCGAGGCCACACATCAGGGAGGGCCAGGAAAGGACTGGGCTGTGGCTCTGAGTCCTGTCTGTCCCTGGGGGAAGGGTGTGTCCCACCTGGAGGTCCCTCTCCTGAGCCCTGGGTCTAGGGCCAGGCTCTGCAGGTGCCCAGCTGGGCATTGTGGGGACGGGGCTGTTTGATCAGCAGTTCCGCCCGATGCCAGGCTGCCGGGGACAGCGGGCAGTGGCCAAACCGGCCCCACCGCATGCCTTCCGGCCCTGGGCAGGAATGCTATTCACGCAGCCTTGCACGGCTACCAGTTCCGGGCTGGGCCTCGGGGAGAAGTGGCAGGGCTGGGTGGGAGCCCCCAGGAAACTCGGGAGGCCTCCAGCCCCGACCCCCAGACCCAGCAGCTGGGCCCAGGCCCCCAAGCCCAGACTGCAACTGCGGGTGGAAGGGGAGCAGAAGCACAGACCGTTCAGGCTCACTCCTGCGCCCCTTCCCGGCAGCCAGAGCCCTGCGATGTCCGTCCGCCTCGGGCACCCAGAGGCCAGCAGGCTTGAGGGGGCCCGGCTGGGGCCGGGGCTCAGGGCAGGGACGGGAGCAAGGGGCCCTCAGCCCACAGAAGCGGGAGGAGGTGAGAGGCTGGGGGAGGGTGTCTGGGGGACACACACACACTCGCTGCTCCATTTCCAGCTTTTATTGGGACCAAGCGCTCCCCTCCGGGGAGGCCAGCAGCACAGTCGTCAGATGGGCGCTTCCAGGATGCCTGGTGCCCAGCCACCTCCAGCCCCACATGTGCCATGGGCGGCCAGTGCCCGCCTGGGCCGTGCTGCCCCCACCCCAGGGATGGGCCCCTTGAGGGACAGCAGGCTCGGCTGGGTGCTTGGCGGCCCAGGGACAGTGCGAGGGCCCCGGTGGCGTCGGCCCCGAGGGTCCATTTCAAGCAGAAGGAGGAGCCTGGCTGGGGGCCTGGCCGCAGCCGCGCCCCTCCCCTCTGGTACCCAGTGTAGGTCACAATAACTTAAAAGACACTATAGACATCTGGACGCTATATAACAGTATAAGTTACCCGGGCTCCTCGGCAGAGGACGCCGGCCTGTGGACTCGGGGTATCCTGGGACTGGGGTGAGGCAGGGGCCGGGGTGGGGCATTCACAGCAGCCCAGAGGATCAGGGTGTCCCGGCACTGTCAGACATAGGCTGGACTCAGGGCCAGCACCCACACGGGGTCACTCGCCCCAGGCCAGTGTTCAGGCCGCTGGGCACATTGGAGGTGCAGAGATCAATGGCGGTGGCCTCGAGCGGTTCACTGGCCTCGGGCGGGTCCCACTCTCCATGTCTGTCTCCTGGGGACAGAGTGGGAGCCCCGAAAGGCATGCCCAGCCCTGAGCCGGGCCTCCCATTCCATCACCATCTGTAAGGCTTGGGGGGAACTGACCGCGAAGGAACAGCCTGCGCAACTTGGGGAGACGTCTAGAGAGTTGGTGTCCCTAGACAGCAGGTGGGCAGCCGCCCCTCTCCCTGCCTGCCAGTTTTTCTGGCATTGGGGTCAACCAGAAGGACCAAGACGGGGCTCTGGGAACCTTGACAGCATTGAGAGGGTGTACAGCCCCTGAGGCTGCAGCTGCAAAGGGAGTAGCCAAGCCTCCTGGGTTGCGGCTGCTGGACATCCTGGGAGCGGGCTGGCTAGGGACCAAGGCAGGAGAACCCACTCATAGCTGAAGGGTCTCTCCCAAGTCCCTGCTCAGGCCCCTCTGGGCCTCAGTGTTGCCATCTGTCAAGTGGGACTAGAGCTCCTGGCCATGCCCCAGCCCAGCCTTGCCGTCCTGGGTGTCAGGCTGGCTCCAGGGTGGGAGGGACTCTGTAAACTGCAGGTGCCAGGCCAGTGGCCAGCCAGGAGCGTGAAGACTAGGGAGGGGACCAGGCACTCCTGGAACCTGGCACAAGTGACATTTTGACTTTTGTGATATGATTTCCAAAAGGGAGGGAAGCCGGGCTGTCCTCCGAGTTCCTCCCCTGCTGACCCCTGGCACCTGGGACCTTCAGGGGCGGAGAGGACAGGACAGTAGGGGACAGGAGAGGGGCAGTGGGGGCCGGGTGGACACGGAGTATGGGTTAGGACTGGCTACGCATTTGTTAGTGCCGAGAATCCTCTTCTGATGCTAAGAAAACATAAATAACCTCGTCAACCTCCGTCCACACTGGCCCAGGGCCGGGGGATCCGTCTCGAGTGTGACAGGCCACGCGGCCTTTCTCTGTCCAGCCGACAGGCAGGGAGGGGACCCTCAGAGTCCGGTTGTCACTCGGTGGTCTGGGGCACAAAGGCACCCTCAGGGTTCGCTGCTGGCTCCCCATCGGGCCCGGGACCCCCGACCCTGGGCGCCAGGCCTGGGCGGGCTGCGCAGGCGCCTCACTTGCAGGTGAAGACCTCGGTGCGCTCGCTGCAGGTGTTGCACTTGACGTAGCAACACCAGTGGAACTTGCAGTTGCACTGCCAGACCTTCGTGTACTGGTGCGTGTTGTAGCCGCGGCCGCAGCACATGGTGTCGCAGCCGTCGGCGCCCAGCGAGGTGCGGTTGCACAGCCGGCCCTGCGTGCCCACGCTGCCCGTTGCCGCATCCTCCTCGCAGTAGTTGGGCGACTTCTCGATGTACACCAGGTCCGTCTCCATGGGCTTCTGGTAGCTGCGCAGCTGCTTGATGCGTAGGAAGGTGGGCTGCCGCAGCCGGCTGGCCCGCACCACCTCCACCTGCACGGCCGCGTTGTACTTCTCCTTCAGCAGGTGGCCCACCTCTCGGAACTTGGGCAGCGTGGTCCAGCACGTCTTGGTGGTGCACGAGCCCGACACGCCGTGACACTTGCACTCCAGCTTCATGCGGTCCTCCAGAACCTGCGAGCGACAAGGCTACGCTCAGTGGGGCGAGAACCCCAGGGCTCCGCCCAAATCTCCCTTGCCTGGCCCTGGAGCGGCTCCTCCCCTTCAGCTGTGTGCCCACAGATGAGTGTCCCCCCACCTCGGCCTTAGCCTGTCATCTAGGCCAAAGGCAGCTTGGTCCCCACGCACAGGACGTAGCAAGGGGCACAAGGGTCTTCGGGATGCGGCAGAGCCTGGTGTGCGTGTAGCAACTGTACCCACTGTGATCAAAATGTACGGTGAGTGGTTACATTTTTAAATAATTTATTCCAGTAAAGACACGTTACTACCAATCCCGGTCAACATCCTCCCTGCTACGTCAACCACGCTTATCCCACAGTCCTCGCCCCCTTCTGGAGCAGTTCTGGAAATCCTCTTTCCTGCATGTCCTTACGAGATGGGACAAAAGAATACAGTCAGTGCTGCTGAGTGCCACCCACTGGAAAGGCGGGCTCATAAAGAAACACGGAGGTGTGACCTCATCCACCTCGTGCTCTGGGTCTGACACCGTGCGACTTCCGGCTCTTCTCCAAAGTGAAAATGACCACGAAAGGGAAATGCTTTGATTGGATTCAGGACACCAAGGCAGCCAGAACAGGGCAACTAAAGACACTGAGGAGAGAGGGCTCTTTCAAAACGTCAGCAGGAGCACTAAGCTTGCCTCAGGTCCAGGGGCGGCATGTGGGGAGCCTGGTGCAGGGGCGCCAGTGCAGCAGGTGCTGGTAAATGTGGGCGTCCCCTCCCTTCCCCCTCTCCCGCCCCACTCCGTGCCTGGTACGGGGCTGTGCATGCAGTCGGAGCTTAGCACTCGCTCCTTGGTGGACACGGGCAGTCCACGGGGCTGGCCCAGCCAGGGTGGGATGAGTGCCTGGGTCACAGGGCCCCGGAGGCCGGGACGGTCGGTTGTTGTTCTTTCTCCCTGGCTCCACGAGGGCCCAGGGTGGGTGCAGCCCTGTGTTTTCCTTGGGCCTCTCTGGTGGCCCCAGAAGGCCGCTTCCCAGAGCCAGCCCTGACCCCGGGTACTCATTTACTCGGATCGAAAGCGCCCTGCCAGCTGGGCCTGATTGAAGATGGGGAATCATTAGCTGCCGCCCCACCACTGCCTAGGGGCCATTTGTCAGCTGTCGGGGCTCCCCGAGCCCAGCGCTGCAGGGGCTTGGCCCCCTGACCCTGAGCCCAGAACCCACCATCAGGGGCACCTGCTGTCTGTCCCCAGCTCTGCCCCAAACACGAAGACCCCCGGCAGGTGAATGGATGAGTGAGTGAAAGACAAGAGGGAGAGAAACAACCCACAGAGGCACCACTGCCCTGGCGCTATCCCCCGCCTGGCCGCGTGAGACGTCCGAGGGGGCCCTGGGCTCACAGCCTGTGTGGCAAGCACCCGGAGACAGCAGTGCTTGGCCGGGGGCTCCTGGAGGAGGCGATGCCTGCAGTGGGTAAGGATGGATGAGCAGGAGCCTGTTAGAGCACGAAGAGCAAAGGGGTTAACGCGGGTACAGGTGGAGCTGTCAGCCACGGGGCCCCAGCGTCCCGGAGCTGCGTGTGCTGGGTGGACCAGCGCTGGGGCCTGCAGCCACAGGCAGCTCTGCGCTGGCGCTTACCCTGGGGCAAAGACTGGCTGAACGGGGATGGGCAGGAGCAGGCTGATGCCCCACCAGGGACAGCTGGGTGGGAGGGGGAGCACCCGAAGGGGACCGCAGGCTGGGGATGGGAGCCCAAAGGGGTCCAGTGACAGGGGCCCGGACCCTGCTTCCTGCCCTGCTGCCCAGCCCGTCCGCCTTCTCCCGCCCTCACCCCCGTCTCGGTGCTCACTTCTATCTCTCCCAGAAGCCGCTCCCTGCCCGGGTGCTTGCCATCCTAGGAACTTCCTGTCTGACCAGGCCACTGGGCCGGCCAAGGCTGGCCCTCAGGACAACGATGTCCAGGAGCTGGCCAGACTGGACCCCTTGAAGTCCCCTCCACCCAGGCTGCCAGGACCTAGAGGGGCATCCAGGCCAGCGGCCAGCCTCCAACTGCCACCTGGTGTCCCCGTCTCGGCCTCCAACCTTGCTCTCTGCCGGCTCCTACACCCTCCGTCTCCCTCGCTCTCCGCCCCTTCTCCTGGTTCCCACCAAGGCCAGGCAGCCGCCTGTGACCTCCCTGGAGCCCGCCTGGGGACGGCCAGGCCCGAGCGCCGGCTGGTGACAGCGGCAGATGAAGCCGACTGGGCAGGAGCTTGCAGAGCAGGGCCGAAGCCTCGCTCGGCTGGGTCGGGCCGGAGTCCGGCGGGAAGTGATCACAGGGCTCAAGAATGTGCCGCTTCCTCCTGCAGCGCCCTTGCCACCACGGCGACAGTGGCGCCAGGACCGGCCGGCACCTCGGGGCACCGAGATGGCCCCCGTGGGGGATGGACTGGGGCCTCCGGGCTGCAGTCAGCGCCGTGCTGGGCCCACAATGAGGGTGCGGCTGGGTCAGGAGCAGGGCTCCGCTTTAGCCAGGCTGGCGACCGAGGTCCTTGGCAGGGAGCCCGCCGGCCAGTGCCCAGCCAGCCATAGCCCGGGGACAGCCTGAGGGCCCCAGGAAGGCACACGGTCCTGTACTCCCTGCCCTAAGAGGCGAGTGCAGCGCTGCCCACACTGGCGTTGCTCCTCAACCTCAGGCCACCGCACTGACTGAGAGACAGCGGCCGTGCGGGCCTAGCAGCAGGAGGCAGTGGCCCCGCTCCAGAGGAGTCACCTTCCCCAGACCTTGGGTTTCCGTGGTACCAGGGGAGGAAACACCCGCTCAGCAGGCTGTCTCGGGCCCAGCCGGTGAGGGCCCGGTCAGTCCCCAGCTCCCAGAGCCGCTGTCCTTGTCAGCAACCGCGTCCAGCCTGTGTCGTCAGTGAGAGGGAGCCAGCGTGCCCTGGGCCGCCCCAGGCCTTCCCTGCGGACCCCTCCTGCCTTCCCCAGGCGCTGTGGAGGGAAGAGGCCGCAGCCGCCACTCACCACGGCCTCCACCTGCCCACAGCCCTGCCCGACACTGTACTGCAGCCCCTACATCAGGGCCAAGCTGCCAACAGGCATCTCGCACTTGTGCCCGCGTCACCTCAGGGAGCCAAAGGAGAGCCTGGCACTCGTTAGAGCCCAGCACGGCCTGGGAGGGCATCCGGGAGGGGTAGGGGGGCCAAGGCAGCGCCGAGTGGCTCAGCCACTCTGACTGACCCCACTGGGGATCCCAGTTGGCAGAGCCAGTGTGCAGGGTTAGACAGTGCCCTCTTCACGTCCCTGGGCACCCTGAGGTGGCCGTACTGGAAACAGGTGTTTGCAGACAGAGCTAAGGGAGTGATGTGACCATCCTGGACTCAGGCCCTAACTCCAGACAGGAGAGAAGACAGAGTCAGGGAATCCACACGGCCACGGAGGCAGGCTGTGTGGACGCTGCCACTAACGCCCAGCAACGCTAGGTGGTGCAAGACGACCTTCCCTGGAGCCTCCTGCCCTGGCCAGCCGGCCGTCAGGATCTCTCATCCTCCCTTTCCCAGTCTCTGTCTCCCTCAGTCCCTTTGTGTCACCTGTGAGTCCCCTGCCAGGTCAGTCCCAGGTCACATGAACTCCAGTGAATTCCACATGACTTGAGCTCCCACACTGGTCTTCCCTGTGCCCGGACCCCTGCAGTAGCCACGGTGGCCCAGCTTCCCCCGCCCGCTTCCCGCATGCCCTTCCCCCATGGTGCACCTACCACCGCCAGCTGACCATGCACTGAACTCTCTGAAACCGTGAGCCAGATTAAACCATTTCCCCCTTGAAATTGTGCCTGCTCGGCATGGGGCCTCAGAGCCGGGCAAGCTGACCAATGCTGGATTCCAGGAGGGTTCGGTTTGCCTCCTCCGAGGAGCCCTCCGAGGAGGATGCCTGCCATCTGCCAGGGCACGGGGACCTGCTTCCTCCCCTGGCTGTCCGGGAGCTCCTGGAAGCCACACTCCGTCATTCAGTCCCCAGTCATTTGTTCATCCTGTCTGTTCGCTTATGTGTCCATAACTTAAAGTCACCTGCCATAGGACACGGTGCACATCAAGGTCAAGCCCGTGGCCTGTGCAGCCCCTGCTTCCTTCCCGAGCTCATCCCACTAAACATCTGTCCGTGCTGGCCCCTCCTCAGCTCTGCTCTGCGTGTCCTTCGAGGCCCCAGTCCCAAAGCACCCGCTCCAGGAGCCCTCCCAGGCTCCCTTGCTCGCAGGTGTGACCCGAGTCCCTTGTGTGGGCCCAGCCCCCATAGCCAGGGCCTTGTGGCTGTCTCCCTGCCTAGTGCCTGGCTCAGAGAAGGGGAAAGGAGCGTCTGTTGAATGGATGGGCGAGTGAGCCGGCCACGGTCCCTGAGACCAGGGATCCTGCAGTCCCTCTTTACTGGGAAAGGCGGGGAGGTCTGTCCCAGGCCAAGAAGCCCCTCACGCCCCACACCCGGCTGAGCCAGACCCTGAGGTGTTCCGCTCGGCTGGCCGCCCTATCTCAGGCCATCTTGCCGCCTGGTGGCCGCTCCTCCCGTCTGGTATCTGGGGCCCTCATCTCCGCAGCGGCAGCGGGGCTCCGCCCGCCTTGACTTCTTCCCCAGTGTGTCCGGGCTGAATTCCCGCCGGGACCCCCAGGCCACCCCGCCCCCTGCAGCCTCTGCTCCTCCTCCAGGCGCCAGGGTCTGCGCACAGCTGGTCCTCAGCCACTCCTGCCTCGCGGCTGTCCCGGCCCCTCCCCGCGCCAGCCGGAGCCCCCGGAAGGAAGGCTGCCGCCTCCGGGAAGCACCCCCGGACCAGGGGAGCCCGGGCGGGGCCGGGCGCACGTCCCGCCTACCTTGCGGCCGGCCTCGTTGTTGTGCAGGTTCATCAGCCGCCGGGCGTTCTTCTTGATCTCGCGGGCGTCCACGAAGCGGCGGGAGAAGTCGATGCCGTAGCGCACGTCGGCGGAGCAGCCGCCCCACTTCCAGCCCTCGGCCTGGTTGTAGTAGCCCTGCTTCTCCCGGTCACAGCCGCAGTTGCTCAGGTTGCCCTGGCTGCAGGCAGCCGTGACGGCGTGCGCCACGCCGGCTGCAGTGATGGCGTAGGTGAAGGCGGCCTCTCGGCTCCCTGCGGGTGGAGACGTTGTGCGTGCTGAGGCCCCGGCTCCGGGCTCCTGCTCACCAAAGCGGGTTGCTGTAACCCGGCAGGACAGCGGTGAGGGCAGCGCCTGCATACGCTGGGCTCGGTGCACGCCGCATCCCTCCCAGGCCCTGGAGGGTCCTCCTCTCCCAATGCCGGGCCGGGCTCAGGGAGCCCTGGACTGCCCAGGCCTGGGCACCATCAACCCGCCTCTCCCCCGAGCCACCGGCTCTTCCAAGTGCAGCCTGGTGGGCCCTCCCGCAGCACCTTCGCTGGCTCTCCTGTGCCGGCAGAGCCCAGGGCCTCCTCCTCCAGGCAGGTTTCCCAGACTCCCAGCCAGAAAGGAGTCCTGGCGTTCGACCCTCTCAGTGCCTGATGTGACCCGCTTGGGGACACTGCCCACTCCCCAGGAGCCTGCAGGGCCCCTTGGGGCCCCTCGGGCAGACCGACCCAGCTCCGATTTCTTCAGCTTCTCCGCCCCAGGCTGGGCCCTGTCTTATCTCCACATCCCACCGCCTGAGGTTGTGTAAGCACCGTGCAGGCTCCTGGTTGGGCACCGGAGAAGCTGCCAGACGCCGGTGGTGGTGCCCACAGCTGTCAAGAGCAGGGCCAGGCAGGCATGGCCCGGGCAGCTGTGGGCCCGGTCATGGCATGAGCCCTGTCCAGTGCCCACTGGCGCTGGCCCCCCGTGTGCCTGGCTGTGGGCGCCCACCGATCAGGAAAGGTTGGGCCTTAAGTCGGATCCATGCCTGGAGCACCCGCTGAGTGCCAGCTGCACGCCTGGGCTTGTTCCGGCGGCTGACCATGTGCTCCGGGCCCCACCTCCAGCTGGGGTGTCCTGGAGCCCCGTCTCCGGGGGGCTTCCATCCAGGGAGGACCGGCGTGGGCCGGGGGAGGAAGCTTTTGTGAGAAGACCAAAGCTGAGCAGGGCTGAGGGCCAGCAGTGACCAGCGTCCTCCCCCAGCAAGATGCAGGGGTAGCGTCCCTGCCCACCCAGCCTGGCCTGCACTGCCCTCCGCAGCCCCAGCCACCCCTATGGTACACACCGTCTAAAAGACCATCCCTATTCTGCTCCAGGGGACCATGTGGCCAGTGACCCTCATCCCTCTGTTGAGGCCTGGGGTCCTGGTGCTTCAGAGAGCTGGCCGGGACCTCAACAGACAGGACAGGGCTGGGGTGCAGCAGGGAGAGTGCAGAGCCCACACCCTGGGTACCTATGAGCCCCAGAGGGTCTGCGGGTGGCCCGGCTCAGAGGCAGCGGCTGAAGCCCTGCTCTCTGAGGACCTGGGCCCAGCAGGGACAGAGACAAGCTGCCCGGAGTCCCCAAGGAGTCTGGGGACTCCAACGAAGGGCCCTGCAGCAGGGGTGAAGGGTGGCCTGGCAGATGGAGCGGGTGAGCTCTAGGGAATGTGTGTGTGCGGGAAGTGTGTATGTGCATGACCTGTGTGCTCATGACACGTATGTGGTGCACGGAGTGTGTGACACGTGTAAGCAGGTGTCCAGCATGCGCGGCACGCCTATTGCCGAGGGGCTCAGCAGGACGTGGCGGCAGGAGCGGGCGGTGGATGAGGCCAGCACAGCGCGTCTCAAAGCAGCCTTCCCACACAGCTGCTGCCCACAGCTGCGCACAGCTCACCCTGGCGACACTGGCAACAGTTTCTTTTTTTGACACAGGGTCTCATTATGTAGTCCAGGCTGCCCTCCAACTCACAGTGACCCTCCTGTCTCAGCCTCCAGAGTGCTGGGACTACAGGCGTGCGTTACCTACCCAACTGGCAATGGATTTTGAACTCCTACCTTTGTGTGTGTGGTACTGGGATTGAACCCAGAGCCTTTGCACTGAGCTGCATCCCCAAACCTCTTCTTTTTTTTTTTTTTTTTTTGGTTTTTCTCCGGTACTGGGAACCGAACTCACGACCTTGCGCTTGCCAGGCAGGCGCTTTTGCCGCTGAGCTAAATCCCCAGCCCCTCCAAACCTCTTCTTTATTTCTTTATGTTGAGACAGGATCTTGCTAAATTGCCCAGGCTGGACTTGAGCTTGTGACCCTCCTGCCTCAGCCTCCCACCGGCATGACAAGTGTATACCACCGAACTTCACTGGAGTTCAGACTCTTGAGAAGTAGCTCAGAGAGCCAGGGCCACCGTTACCATCACAACCCATGCTCCCACACCTGCACCCTCCCTCGTGTTCTCGAAGATCCCTGTGACCAGCGGATGAGGCGGGTCTGGTCATTGTCTCATTTCTCAGATGAGGAGACTGAGGCACAGGCATGAATGACCGAAGGTAGATTTGCACCCAGGCTTCGATTCAAAGCCCAGGAAGGCTGGGAGGGGGCTGAGGGCCTGGCTTTGGGTCCCTGGAAGTCACTGGGCCAGAAGTGCAGCTCCTGTGTGGCCCTGTGACCTTAGACAGGAGAGGACCTTGGGCAGGAGAGAGCCCCAGTGGGGGACCAGCCATCAGGATCGTGCAGGAGGTCAGAGGAGGTGCCAGCAGTGCCCGGGCAAGGATGGAGGTGATCCACCAACTTGGAGGCCGCGGGTCCCCAGCCCCTCGCCGGTCCTGAAGCGCAGACTGCTACTCAGCAGCTTCTCACCCGCCCGCCCCACCCGCTCACTCCTTTTTTATTTGGATTTAACGAGCCCAGCCCCTGCCCCTCCTGCCAGGAGTCGGGAGCGGACCGACAGAAGTTGGACAGAATCAAGGGGGACCCAGGCCCGCCAGAGGCATGGCCGCAGGCTGTGGTGTTCAGGACTCCTGGCACCCAGCATGCTGTGTCTCAGGTGATTCCCGCGCCTGGGAGGAGCTGCTGCCCCCTTTTACAGATGGGCTGAGGACTCCGCAACCCGCCCCGGGATGTGCCTGGGTATGGACTGGGGCAGCAGGGCTCTAGCCTCCTGGGCTCCCTCCCAGAACCACCCCTGGGCCCTGCTGGGGCCTCCCACCATGCTCCTTCTAAGGTCCTTAGATATTTCCTTTTTGAGACAGGGTGTCAGTATGCAGTTCAGGTTGGCCCCGAACTAGAAGCAATCCTCCTGCCTCAGCCTCCCAAGCACTGGGATCACAGGTGTGCACCACTGCGCCTGGCTATAAAAGCTTAGATTTAGAAGAACCCATCCTGTACGCCAGAGGCAGACAGTCTGGGGCCTCAGACCGCTCAGTAGTCAGCAACAGCTCCTAAGGCCTCCGAGAGCCGCCTCCAGGCTTGTGCGACCCCTCCGTCCTCAAACTCCACTCCCTGCTGCCCACAGTGACCACCTGTGGCAAAAGGAGCCCCTGGCCTCCTCCCACCCACCTCGGGCGACAGTGGTGTTCCCTGTCCGTGTTCCCAGGGCCCAGGCTCTGGACACAGCAGGACCCCCACCTCCAAGCGCCTGTCCTGGCTGGCAACCCTCCTCCAGGGTGCTGGTCTCTATGTGGGCTTTGACCCCTGGCCCAGCAGGGCTGGGCTGGGCGCATTCCTGGCCCCTTACCATCTCCATGGCAATCCAGGAAACAGATCGAGCCTGCAGATCCATCACACAGGTGGGAATGCTGAGCCTCAGGGCCAGAGGGGACTGGCTCCAGGCAGGCTGGTGTCACCTGAGCTCTGCAGCCGGAGCAGGTGTGCTGGGGGAGGGGTGCACGGCCGGCACAGCAGTTGCAGCCCCGGGGCAATGAGGGGAAGGGTGAGTCGGCCACACATTGGCCACTGCTTCCCACAGCCCTGCCAATCCCTGAGTGGGGCTCTGGGTCCTCAGGACCCTGACCTGGGGCCCCGTCCCTCTCTGGACCCAGGCAGGCAGGGCCCTGGGAGGGTGGAGGGGGACTTCAGGGACTCGGCTAGGGGAAGGAGCACCGGACGTGGGTCTCTCCCGCCATGGCCCTGGCAGACAACAGTCCTCTCAGAGCCGCGCACGGTGCCTGATGCAGCTGGCAGCCCCCACCTGCCCAGGGCAATCAGGAGAAGCCCAAGGGCCAGCACTGAGAGCAAAGGGGAGGAGCATTGCTGGCCTCTGGCATCAAGAGCACGGGGCCAGGGCCAGCTGGAGAACTGGACATGAGGCGACATCCAGGCCAGGCCAGGCATGAGACAGCCTCCTACAGGGCCACCCCACGGCCTGCCCACTGAACCCCCAACACTCACATTCCACAGAAAGCCGGATGTGAAGCAGCGGCATGACGGCCACTGGGGACCCTGGGGGGCCGGGCCGCCAGGGACCGCCCAGCCCAGCTCTTTGCCTGGTCATTCAGACCCAAGCCTTCCTCTGGGAACAGCAGAGTGGTCAGACAGGGCTCCCTGCCTCTCCCGGTCACCTCCCAGTCACCGTGCAGAGCTACCTGGGACACGGCGGTGTCCACAGAGGCTGCCCCACTGACGTAAGACAACAGGAAAGGCAGAACCGAGGGCACAGGGACCTGGCTAACTGCACTGCGGAGGCCGAGGCCCTTCGTCCTCCTTAGAAGGACAGCCGGGATGGTCCGGGGCTGTTCCCTGTCCCCAGCAAGGGGCCCAAGGGCCAGAGATGGCAGCACACAGCCCAGCTCCCCTGGAAACTCTGGAAGTGGGGGAGCAGGGCCTGGCATGCTAAGGTGACCCAGTGAGGGCCACCGTGGAGCCACACAGGGCCCAGACCTTCCGGAACCAAGAGACCCAGGGTGGAGCGATCGGAGTCCGGCCCCTGGAGTTCAAGCCACATGCTAAGATAGTCCGCTGCGTGACCTTGAACCAGCCATGGCGACTTTCTGTGTCCCTGTGGAGGAGCAAGGGCAATTTCTGTGATATGGCCAGGACACCCGTCCCAGAGGTGGGCGGCCCAAGCCTCAGCTCACAGTGACACCCGGGCCGTCACGGGGCATGCAGCACCTGCATGCACTCAAGGATCATGCACCTGGTTCCGCTCAAGCAGTTGTGTGTGTCTACACTGCGGCCGACTCCACTGAGCAACCCCCCCCCACCACCACACCAACCTGGACGTGGCCCCTCTTTGAGAGAAAACAGGACCCCCCC